CAAATCATGAATATCAATAATTTTAATGAAATTTACTTTAGTGCTTTATCATTTTGGAGAAGTTGCCATTTGAGACAGTAGCATTAGTTCATAAAGAAGTGTACTCACCACAGTATTCAACAATGTGTTATATTCAACAAAGAGAGTTCAGAGTAAGAAAGATTAACTATGTTGTTTGATACATTTATTTATGCATTTTTTAGTTTTGCTGCATGCCATAATTTTTGTTTTAAACATCCCTTAGTTACTACAAGTAATATTTATGTGTGTTTTACTTCTTATTCTTAGATGCACATGGATGCAGAAAATGGAATTATAGTAGAAAAATTATTGAAAGTTGAATTTCAGTAGAAGGTTGAAGATCTGAAATTAATTTGAGGAACTCTTCAGCCACAGTTTTATTAGAAACATTTAAAAAGTACTGTTGTTTTTTTCCTAGGTTAGAAGATATGTGCTTTGTCATCTTCTTTTTTCCTATTATGTTGTGAAACTTATTGTTTCAGCGATGTGTGGGAAATAACGTCTTAATATATTTGTTCTCATGAATTAAAGATTTCACATGGAGAATACAATTAAGTGCTTTGTGTTATGGCCCAAATTCTGGCTGGAAGTAGATTTCAGGGAGGAAGAGGTGACTAAGATTCAGGGTGGGCACCTTGGGAAGTGCAGCCAGCACTGGGCTTGCCCTCTCCATTGTCATGATGGGTCCCTCAGAGCCTCCTCTGGGAATAAGGGTGTTGGGCCCTGTGATCTCTGACTGCTGAGGAAGATGAACCACCTTGGACTCCTTACACAATTTTGATGTATATCAATTTTTACAAAATATCTGCTACAATTTATTTGCCACCATTTTTTAGTTGTTTAGAAAATTGTGTGCAATTGGGCATCTGGTATGTAAATTATAGCTGTATCTTTATAACTGTCTTGGGAAACATTGAAAAACTAATCCCCTTCATCCCCAGTTCTTTAATCAAAAATTCATTTTGGTTTTTCTTTCACAGGTATACATGAAAAACTCTATAAAATGATTCAGAGAAAAGGTATTAATGCTCAGTTGTTAGGCTAAAAGATCTTTTTCTTTTTTTCTTTTTTCCCCTAACTCAGAGTACCTTGTGAAAAAATATTTAAACTATGAGGTGTATTTATCATATTTTTGTTTTTTAAATTAGAAAGGAGTTTGTGGAACATTTTACGTTAACAAAAGAGATTAGTTAATTAGATAATAAGCTTTGGTCCAAGAAATTTATCTTCAAGTTCTGCACTCATTGGTCAAACAGTTATTTTTCCAGTGCTAACAAGATTTAGTTTCATTTGAAGAAGAAGAAAGCACAAATGAAACAAAAGATTAGAAACAGTAACAAGAAACTCACCACAGAAATAAAGACATAACCCATTATAAGTTTGTGCAAGTGCCAGAATTTTTGGAAGCAGGTGAGGAATGATCTAGAAAAGCTTTATGGTGGGATGTGCTTTAAGAATCAGCTCTATATTTGTG